GTGGATGAATATTCTATCGGCAAAAGGATTCATACACGCACTTTTCCAGGTCATGAACCTTCTTCCCGGGTCATTCCTAACATTGGCACCAGTATGCTCGAGCTGGATATTCATGTTTCTTCGGCTGCATTGGTGTTGTCATAATCTCTAGATAGGCATATAGGGTGTACATGTGATATTAGTACATCTAGCATCATGAGCACAACCAAGGTCCCGCTCTTCAACCGGCAGAACCCGAGGCTGTCCGCTCGGCAACACACGTGCTCCAAGCACGGAAAATGGCAACCTTATGGCCGCAAGAGTGGCTATTTTGATCTTCGTCGCATGCGCGAAGAAGGTTCATATAGTCATGGAACAGCCCAGGGGATCCCTGCTGGAAATACACCCAGCAATGCAATGCCTGTTCAAGAAATTGAAGTGGTACAAAACGAACATCCAGATGCGTACCTATGGGGCTCCTACCGACAAGGGAACCTGGCTCTACTCCAGCCACGATCCTAGTTAGTTCATGAAAATGGGTAGTTTCACATTAGGACGTTACGAAGCTATCAATATGGGGATACGGTGTGTGAGTTGTGTGTCCCTTGCTGAATGCAAAGGTCACAAGTTCTTGACTGAGATCTACCGCTTCAGACCTCTCTACGTCCAGGAGGGAGAAGCCCCGGGTTTGGTGAACAGGTATGTAGATCAACACGGTGTTCAGCGAGTCACTGGTGTTCCCGCTGAATTGCAACAATCGCAAACTTATCCACGTGCGCGGCTCGACTGCATGGTGCATGTCTCGATTTACACGACAAACCGGATCATTCTTCGCTAGCAATCCCTGCCCAGTTTCTGCTTCCTTGAAATTATGCAAAATCGACCCCTTGCCACCAAAACCCAACGAAAACCTTACCAAGGTTTGGGACTGCGTTGGCAATGTTGCGAACGAAAAAGCGTGCTGCTCTGCGGCGCAAAGCCGACAAGTTCCTCAAGAGTGCAAAGCAGAACCGCCGTGCTAGTGCCCAAGGTTGTGCTTGTAAAGCGACACAAGCGAAGCTACGCGAGTGGGTTCGAGCTGCCCAGTTAAAGGCTGTGTTCCAGCTTTTGAAGTCCGGCAATTTGTAATTCAGCACGAAAGTGCAGCGTGAAGTGCAATGATGGTGGTGTAGGATACCGCATCACATTTTAATTCGTGCTACAAGGCATCATGCATCCATGTCTCGGGTATCTTTGTGCTTGGGCAAAACAAAAGAAATCGTTGCTTCATGCAAGTGCATAATGGTTTGCAGCAAAGCTCCCAGCCCGTGACAACACTCCACCACAACTTTGCACAGGTATGGGGCGACTCGTCTTCAAGAACCTGGACTTCGAGACTTCCGAAGCTGGTGCGCCCCCCTCCCCCAACAGCAGCGGTGCATGCTTATGTTGTCATGACACTGGTCTACAGTTTGCTGTGCACGTCACTGTGGCATCAATAGGATGTGTGCTGTTCCTAAATCCGACACGAACTCTACTTTATCCGTGCGTGATCACAATACTACAAAGGCTACGGCATACGCTGTGGGCACCTGCAGGTGCTGCATGCTGCTACCACCATGGTGCTGTTGCTGCACCATACTTCTATACTACTACTGCTACTACTACTACTTCTTCTTATTCTGCTTCTGCTTCTGCTTCTGCTACTGCTGCTACTCTGCTGACACTCCTTCTTATGCCGCTGCTGCGACTATACTACTGCTGCTTTGACACGACAACAACTCTTGAAGTCGCAGCTGCAGGTGCGTTTTGTTTGTTACCAAAGCCGCTGTGTGGGTTTAGTCGTGTCGTAGTCGGCAGTAGCAGTAGTAGTTGCTCGTGGTAGAAGAAGCAGTAGCGATAGTGCCAGCAGCAACACCAGCAGCAGGAGTAGTAGCAGCAGTAGTAATCGTCGCCGAAATATAGCAGTCGCAGCCGTACTGTTCAGTATAGGAGAAGTAGTATATAGTAGTGGTAGTAGTTGTAGTAGTAGTAGTAGTAGTAGTAGTAGTAGTAGTAGTAGTAGTAGCATAGTCGTAGCAGTAGTGGTCGGAGTAGTATAGTATGAATCTATATATGAATATGACTAAGAGTATGAGCATGAGTATGCGTATGTGTATGAATATGAGTATGAGTATCAGTATGAGTATGAGCATGATCATGAGCATGAGAATGTGATAGCAGTAGGTAGCAACAGTACTAGTACAAGTACTAGTTTAATACTGGTAGTAGTAGTAGTAGTAGTAGAACTAGTACTAGTAGTAGTAGTAGTAGCAGTAGGAGTAGTAGTAGTAGTAGTAGTAGTAGTAGTAGTAGTAAGGGAGGGGAGGACTCCGAAACCCCAAAACGACCGTTCTTTTTACTATTTTACAAACAACAGAAAAAAGAGGGGCTCCAATTTTGTCTCAAACCGTGTTGATGCTTTAGTAGTAGTAGTAGTAGTAGTAGTAGTAGTAGTAGTAGCGATAGTAGTAGTAGTGGTAGTAGTCGTGGTATGTTTTTCTTTTTCGTTTGCACCCTACAGGGAGGGTTGATGGTGAGACAACCCGGGGGCAAATGAAAAGGAAATAGTAATAGTAGTAGTAGTGTAGTGGTAGTAGTATAGTAGTAGTCGTCGTAGTAGTAGTAGTAGTAGTTGTAGTAGTGGTAAGTAGTATAGTAGTAGGAGTAGTAGTAGGAGTAATTGTAGTAGTAGTAGTAGTAGTAGTAGTAGTAGTAGTATAGTAGCAGTAATAGTAGTAGTAGTAGTAGTAGCGATAGTAGTAATAGTGGTAGTAGTCGTGGTACGTTTTTCTTTTTCGTTTGCCCCCTACAGGGAGGGTTGATGGTGAGACAACCCGGGGGCAAATGAAAAGGAAATAGTAGTAGTAGTAGTAGTAGTAGTAGTAGTAGTAGTGGTAGTAGTAGTAGTCGTAGTAGTAGTAGTAGTAGTAGTAGTTGTAGTAGTAGTAAGTAGTAGTAGTAGGAGTAGTAGTAGGAGTAATTGTAGTAGTATGTAGTAGTAGTAGTAGTAGTAGTAGTAGTAGTAGTAGTAGTATAGTAGTAGTGTAGTAGTAGTAGTAGTAGTAGTAGTAGTAGTAGTAGTAGTAGTAGTAGTAGTAGTATAGTAGTAGTAGTGCATTGTAAACGTATACTAGATCGTAGGTCAGAACTCTAAAGTAGAATGGGATATTGGATGGTTTCAGACCAGAAGCAGGAGCAAAGGCCGAGATTTTATTACTGGGCACCTTAGTGAGGGTTACATGGGGTATTTGGTGGTGCTTTGGCAAAATAGGTGGCTGGCGGATGGAAATATCAGCCACAGGGGGTCTTGGCGAACCGGCAACAGGCACGGTCCAGTTTCGCGGTTGTCCAGATCCAAACGATAGGCCATCGAAAGCACGAGGTGCGAAAACATATTGCGACACGAGAAAAAAATTGCAAACAGAAAATTTTAAAAAATAATGGAAAACGGACCCAGCAACAGCCGCGATTTGGCGCGAAACAGCCGCGATTTGGAGCGAAAAGCCGCGAATTGTAGGAGCCCTCAGAAAATGAGCCCCCCAACGTTCGCGGTTTTCTCAAAAAAACTTGCAGGTAGAGCCGGCAGCAGTCACAACCACCACCACGAAACTACAGCCGCGAATTGTTGCAAAGCCGCGAACTGCAGCCGAACAGCCGCGAACCGACGCCAACAGCCGCGAACCGATGCCAACAGCCGCGAACCGATGCCAACAGCCGCGAACCGAAGCCGACAGCCGCGAATTGTAGTACTAGTAGCAGCATCAGTAGTGTAGTAGAAGTAGTACGGTAGTAGTAGTACTAGTAGTAGTAGTAGTAGTATTACTATAGTAGGTAGTAGTAGTAGTAGTAGTAGTAGTAGTAGTAGAACTAGTAGTAGTAGTAGTAGTAGTAGTAGTATAGTAGTAGTAGTAGCAGTAGTAGTAGTTGTAGTAGTAGTAGTAGTAGTGGTAGTAGCAGTAGTAGTAGTCGTAGTAGTAGCAGTAGTAGTAGTAGTAGTAGTAGTAGTAGCGATAGTAGTAGTAGTGGTAGTAGTCGTGGTATGTTTTTCTTTTTCGTTTGCCCCCTACAGGGAGGGTTGATGGTGAGACAACCCGGGGGCAAATGAAAAGGAAATAGTAGTAGTAGTAGTAGTAGTAGTAGTAGTAGTAGTAGTAGTAGTAGTAGTAGTAGTAGTAGTGGTAGTAGTAGTAGTAGTAGTATTAGTAGTAGTAGTAGTATAGTAGCAGTAGTAGTAGTAGTAGCAGCAGTAGTAGTGGTAGTAGTTGTTGTTGTGGTAGCAGGACTATAGTAGTAGTAGAAGTATAAGTAGTAGTAGTAGTAGCGATAGTAGTAGTAGTGGTAGTAGTCGTGGTATGTTTTTCTTTTTCGTTTGCCCCCTACAGGGAGGGTTGATGGTGAGACAACCCGGGGGCAAATGAAAAGGAAATAGTAGTAGTAGTAGTAGTAGTAGTAGTAGTAGTAGTAGTAGTAGTAGTAGTAGTAGTAGTGGTAGTAGTAGTAGTAGTAGTGGTAGTATAGCAGTAGTAGTCGTAGTAGTAGCAGTAGTAGCAGTAGCAGTAGTAGTAGTAGTAGTAGTAGTAGTAGTAGTAGTAGTAGTAGTAGTAGTAGCGATAGTAGTAGTAGTGGTAGTAGTCGTGGTATGTTTTTCTTTTTCGTTTGCCCCCTACAGGGAGGGTTGATGGTGAGACAACCCGGGGGCAAATGAAAAGGAAATAGCAGGAGTAGGAGGAGTAGTAGTAGTGGTAGTAGTAGTAGTAGTAGATACTAGTAGATACTAGTAGAGTATAGTGTATATAGTATACAGTATACGTGCGAGTGTGTGTGTGTGTGCGTGTGGGTCGGGTGAGGCTATGTGTGTTGCATATTTGACATGCATGCCAGCATGCTCTCGAAGCCTTGTGTTCACGACGTTGTTCATGTACATGTGTCTATGATATAATGATGAATGGGAATGATGTCACAGCTAGGACCGCTCCTTCAGAGTCCGAGCTTCGTTAGCAATGGCCCTCAAGTCTTCGAAGAAACACGATAAGGAAAAGAAAGTGAAGAAAGAAAAAAAAGAAAAGAAGGAAGACAAAGGCTCAGCAGCCAAAGGCTCAGCAGCCACTGCCCCAGCAAACCGGCCGCCTGCTATCCGCAGGCTGAACTTGAAGACCTCCCCGCGCAGTGCAAAGCGCAAGCCCCTGTCACAGCCAGCAGCCGACCCCAAGCCCGAGAAGGAAGAGCAGAAGACAGAAGAGCCCAAAGCCCCAAAGGCCCCCAAGGCTTCCAAGCAGGCCCCCGAACAGACCAAGGAGCCTCAGTCGACTGAGAACCGTGAGAAGGAGCAGAGTGCTCCCAAAAGGGCCAAGAAGGAAGTCCCGGAAGCTCCTGCCGTTTCCCCGAAGGACCACCCAACGGCACTCAAAGACCTCAAAAAGCAAGAGAAGAAAGCAAGAGCTAAGGAAGAGAAGAAACAGAAGAAGCAAGAGAAGCGAGACAAAAAAGCCAAGAGCGAAGCGGAGGAAAGCGTTGTGAAGGAAGACCCCCCGAGTGCGGGTGAGGACAGCAAGAAGCAGGCTTCGGAAAGTGAGACGCCCGCGCCACGGAAGAACCTGCTGGAGCGGTTTGACACCCAGGACGCGATTCTGTTTGCATGTGTTAAGTGAGGGAGGGGAGCGAGGGGAGGTAGATGCACAAGGGCAGAGAGAGAGAGAGAGAGATCTATCTCTCTCTCTCTCTCTCTCTCTCTCTCTCTCTCAGAGCTGCCTATCATGTGTGTGTCGGTATGCTGCTGCTACGAGCAGGACGCCGAAGTCAACGAGGAGTATCTTGAGAAGCTCTTGCGGGAGATGAGCGAGAGTCCTGGGCCGATCAATAAGAGCGACGACGAGGAGAGCTCCGGGGCCGAGTCGGAAGGAGAGGATTCTGAGGCATCCTCTCAAGGCGAAAGCTCCTCAGAAGAGTCTTCGAGCAGGGGCTGCGAGGAGCAGAGCGGCAACGAGAGCGACGACAAGGAGGCAAAGAGCCCCACGGCATCTTCCTCTTCCGATACGGAGGACGACGAGGAGGAAGAGGCAGCAGATGGCAATAGCACCAAGCAGTCCGCACTGGTGCCAGTAGCAAAGGCAGAAGATGCGCAGCCAGGCACTTGCTTGGCTTTGGTAGCAGCGGGGGCTGAAAACGCAACCGCCGGCCAAGCCAACAGTGTCGTGGCCGCACACCAGAGGGTTTGGGCAGGGAGGGGTGGAAGTATCGCAGCTAATGCAGATCCGAGGCACGACGAACAAGCGCGAGTGGGACGTGTTTACACGGGAGTGTCACAACCGGAAAAAGTTTCCGGTCGAGCTCGCGGACTACTATGAGAAGTCAAAGACCGACATGTTCAACTTGTGGCTACAGAATGGAAAAGACCTTCAGAAGCAGTGTTCTCAGTTGGGGCATAATAAGATGTAGTTGTGTAAGCTTCCTTTATTTTCCCATCGGTTTCAGATGCTCAGGGTGAAAGTCACTGTGGAGCGCATGCGAGAAAAGAAAACCACGGCAAGACAGGGAGCTCTTGCCATGAAGAAGAGGGACATCATCAAGACCTACCCCGGCAGAGGAGAGGAGCTTTGCAAGAAGCTCCGGTCATCAGGCCGGTTTTATCGTGACGAGGAGTTCCCGAGCGACAGTGAAGAAATTTTCTACTACGTGCGCCAGCCGAGGAAGGTGAATGTGGATGTGATTGTTGGTGAGAAAGCATCGATGTCGGGCAGCATGGCAGTGGAGGACAGTGCTGCAATGGAGCAGATGACCGGACAGGATGGTGTATTCGCTGCTGGTGCTTTGCCAGCAATGAAGACGGACGGTGCAGCCGGAGGCAAAGCACTTGCCGAAGTGCTGGTTGATGAAGCCATCGATAAGAAAAAAAGCAAAAAGAAAAAAACCGGTGAAACCACAGAGCCAGTCGAGCCGACCACCATCAAGGACCAGGCTGAGGAGATGGCAAAAGACATGCTCAAGACGTCTGGGGATGCTCGCAAGCTGTCTCTCAGTTTGCAGGGGCTTGATATGGCCGGGACGTTGTCAAAGGATTTGGCAGCATTCTCGAAAGAGTGCGAGAAAATGTTCACAGAGGTGCAGAAAAGGCTGCGCAAAAAGAACCACAAGAAGAAGGACAAAAAGGCTTTCGCAGAGTTTGTGAATGTTTCCAAAGAGAAGATGGATTGGTGGAAACAAGCCGAGGCTCCCCGGGTGCCACTAGAAGTTTCCGCAGCCACTTCCTCCAATCCCTATAGTATGGAAAAACATCAGCTAAAGGGAGTTTTCTGTGTTTGCAAGCAGGTAGCGGGCAAGGCTTTCACTTCCGCAGCCAACAGAAAGAAGAAGGCCAAAGCGAAGGCATCGGGCGGCAAAGACGGTAAAGAGGCAGCCGAAGCCAAAGCGTGAGCCGTGAGCTGCTGCTGCAGATTTTAAAGAAGTGATGTGCGTAGCATGCATGAGCTCGTGTGCTATATCAATAGTTCTAGATCCCAACTTATAGTGGTAGCTGTGCTTCTCGGACGAGCATGCATGAGCTTCGCAGATTTTGACCCATAGCCATCCAGACCTTTTGCTGTCAACTTTTCCAGTGACAACTCAAATCGGCTATGCCAATGCTGCACTCCATCGTGGCATGTTTGTGTTTCATACAAACTGCCTTTTAGATCAACCATGTTTTATAGCTGTCATCCCACACAGGCACGGCTAATGGAGAAATCGCGAGGAGGCCGGGAGGGGGTGTAGGGGTTTAGGGCATAGGCTTTTGCCATGGGTTAGGTCTAGTGTTCAGGGATTAATTTCGGCATTGGGTGTAGGCTGTGGGCTTGAATGGTTCCTTGCTTTACGGGCTTCGGGTTCGGGGTTCAAGTGTGCTCCTTTGCATCGGGCAAAAGGCTGAAGCTTGAAACCAGCTAGAAGCCTTCGAAACCTTATAGAAGTAGCCTAGCCCCAACGCGCTAAACCCCAAACCCGTAAAACCCTGTGGTATTGTCGCATACAGGACTTATCTGGAGCCTATAGCCTGACTCATGGAGTCATTACAAGAAAGAAAGAAAACCCTGTCCCTTCTCAATGATTTGAAGCTTTACATTGGCTTAGTCGCAGATAGTTTGGGTTTCTAAGGGTTTAGGGTTTAGGGTTGTGGTTAGGGTTTAGGGTTCAGGGTTTAGGGTTTAAGGTTCAGGGTTTCGGGTTTAGGGTTGAGGGTCAGTCCTGGCAGCCAGCAAGCCCGGGTTCAAAAAAAGGGTTTAGGGCCCAGGCCTAGAGTCACACATTCCACCAATGGGGATACTGTAATACATATCTGAGCCAAAGTTATACCCCGCCCTCCAAGGCCAAATGTGTCGCCACAACGGCGCGATCGTTGCTTGAAGCTCTGGCTGGTTAGCATGATTCGGTTCGATAAGAAATGATCGTATGTAAGAAATATTCAAAGTACTCGTTACAACTTATGTTCTCAAGTAGCACCTTTTACGGGTGAGTGTGCTGACGGTAAGTTGGCAAGCATCAATATACTCGTTTAAATACCGTTGACTTCAGAAAAGAAGCTTTTCATGCTGATGTTGCACCTTCGCATGTGTGATGGTGATGTTAGTGATGATGATGGTGTACGTTTCGGTTGTTTGTGCTTTGGAGCAAACCCATGCCCGCAGTTAGTCGAAAGTAGTGCTGTCGATGATTGCAGATTAAGGTTGAAGGGTTTCGGGGATTACAGTGTTAAGAGCTTTAGGGTTTTAGGTTGAAAAAGTTAGAGTTATTAGAGATCTTGTGCTTGCAGGGATTCCGAGTTTTGGGTTTAGGGGTTTAGGGTTTTAGAGTTTGAGGATTCGGATTGGGTTGCGGGATAAAAGCTTACGGCTGCGACTGTCGGGGACCGGAGCAAGAATTCGAAAGCACTTCCCGAAACCCTGTCTCCATAGCCCCCTAGACTTTATCCTACCAACCTTATATACCATCAACCGCCCTTTAAACACACTCAGGAGCTTTACGAATGGCCATGCTGAAGACAGGCCTGCTTGTGGTTGCTTCTAAACTAAACCAGGGGCGGGGATGGGCTGCTCGATTTCGGGGCTTGGAGGCCTCTGTTCCGCTGGATTCTGATGCACACGTCTCGTTTGGCTTTCCTTTACAGAAGGAAGTCGAATTTAAAGTCCGAACTACACCAATCGTAAGTATTTGACCTCCTACATGTATATACCCAGTGTCAGTATTATCGGGGTGTATTATAGAGGACTGTAGGGTTTAAGGTACTTAATCGTTTTAGGGCTTTAGGGATTTTGAACTCTCGCGCATTCGACCGGAGGCCGTTGAAACGAACCCGCTACGAAGATCTTCCTCGAAGCTGCGAAGCAGAAGAGTTTATCCGACACTTAGCTGAAGCGGCTGGTTCGTTGCACTTTCTCATGTCAGAATTCAGAAGCTTCGGCACAAATGCTTCGTATAAGGCCTGATCGGGTCTGGCAAGATCCATGTCCATACGATATGTGAAATTGCGCGGGCGCAGTTGCACGACGGGCCCCAGCTGCCGAGCGTTGCGATGTTCGCATCGCTTGGTAATTACGGCCTCCAGAAGGGGCACGAAGAAAGGGATCTACATCGGTGGCTGGAAAATCTGCATGGTGTAAACTTGGAGCCGTACTGGACCACCATGCGATTGCAGGCTCGCCGTTGAAAGCTTGGACACACATGACGATCTGACGGAAGTCTTTAATATTGTTGCCTGGCACACAGGTCAATACTTCCGACAAACCATGTCTGGAGCAAGTGCCGGTTCTTCTCCCGCACGAGATCCTGAATGCTCTCGCCTGCGCAGGTCCTGCTCAGGCATTATAATGGAGAATCCATGGTAAGTGGTTTGCATGTGTGTCTTGCACAGTCTGTGTTGAATGTCCCTGAAGTTCGCGAAATCCATGACGGGACATCGCGACGATGATGCTGTGCGAGAGTTCTGGGAGCATTGCAAGGGTCTTGCAGAATACCAAGAACATCCAGCCCTGCAGAATGGAAGCGCACTTGAAAGATTCTGGTCTGCAAGTGCCGTGCTGCGGCATGTGCAGAACAGTCAAACCAGAGCAAGCCCTCATGTAAGGACTGTTGCCGTTCACCTTTCATTGTGACGGCGCAGAGTTCTATAGCAACTCCGAGTTCATGGTGTGGAGCTGCTCGTCCATTTTCGCGACTGGAGATGCGGCTTTGATGCAAGGATTTTATCGCAAGCGGCAGTTCCTGATCTGAAACACATTGGCAGCTCACTCAGGTTTGGGATATCAAGCTCCCTTGTGTTATCGTGCCCCACGAGTTCATGGCTGACATTGATGCGGCCTGGCGGAAGTTCTAGGACTAACGATTTATGGGTCTCTGCTTGACGCAAAAAAACGAGCAGGTTCGGGAGCATGTCCATCGCCACGTGGCTCAGCTCATGGCTTGGTCTATGGACTGCGCCATGCAGGGCAAGGGCCCAGAAGTGGGATTCCACGGCGAGAAGTTCGAGAATGGTTCCCTTCGCCAGAAGTTGGCAGGCTCAAGCATCGGGAATGGTTGGAGGCATCGTGAGAAGTCTGTATTAATCTGTTCAATGCAGAGTTGAGCCCACATTTTCCCATAAACTTGGCCGCCTGACAGGGCAGCATTCTTCTCGATGAAATACGACCTCAAGGCAAGGGTTCAGTGCAACTTCTTCACAAGGCACTACGGCTGCAACTTGGTGTGCGAGTCATGCTTTGCCTGCAAACCTGGAAAGAATACCGAGCCTTTGTTGACGTACCGGGACTTCAGTCTCTCTGCCGGCCACCGGTTGACCCGCTTTGGCCATCGCGACTACTTGGCCCTGACGCCCCCGGAGGAACTGTCACCGTGGACAGCCATGAAGGGCTGGACTTTGGAATCCTGCACTCGCGACCCAATGCATGTGATATATTTAGGAGTGTGCCGCGATCTCATCGGATCAATCCTCGCAGATTGGCTGGACGCAGGTTTGTTGCCAGTTGCAGCATCGCTTCAGGAAAGCTTGAGGAAGCTATCCTTAGAGATGCACGACGCCTGCAAACGAGCCCGGCAACTTGTCTGTAATCTTCGCCCGTAGTCTACAGCTGCACAACAATTGCGGGATCGTGCGCATGCTATCCAAGGATTAGTTTCCGGAGGAAATTCTTCACTCCTTCGAACACAGGCTTGGGAACCGCCGACTACCCGGAACTGTCCACCACCTGGAAGGCTGCGGAAATCAAGATTGTTGTCTGGTTCTTGACGACGAAAGCTGCGCAGTATAATGCCGACACGGACGACACATGCATGATTTGGAGATAGGTACAACGTCTGCAGGCATGCGTGCTTTGTGTGCAGAGCAAACCTTCCGCATGCGGTGTAGCTGCACAACTAAGGATCCTGTGCGGCGGGCTGGCACTGAATGCATTTGGTCATTGAATGAAGCATTGTCCATTCTGGACCAGCACGACATCATCATGCCGAAAGAAGACTCGTGTCGCAGTGCAGCCTTGCTGAGGCGGTTCCTGTTGCAGTGGCAGTTCTTGGCTGTCCACTTCCACTCGCTGCAGAAGAAGCGATGGAAAATACGCCCCAAACATCACGTTCTGGATCACTTCTCTGACGATCTAGAAAGGACGCAGCTAAACCCTCGCTTAGCATGCTCTTGCTTCCAGGAGGAATCCTACCTCGGACATCTCAAGAAGATCGCAACCCATTGCTCTTCGCCTCGAGTGATGGAAAGAACTTTCCAACGCTTGCTTTTGCTGTGGGGCCTGAGATGGCAACAAACACGTGAGCTCGAAGCCGAAGTGGCACACCGTCCTGCAGCATTGCACGACGTTTGGTGAGCTCGTGGGGAAGCGAGCAAAACTGAGCGTGGCAGGTCTATGCACAATTTTTCATTGCATGTATATATGTCTATATATATATATACATACATAAACAGAAAGACACAGAGAGTGTACCCTACCAACTTTTGCTCAAGCCGGCTCAAGCCCATGTGGCTACATACGCAGAGACAAAAAGAGTGTACCCTACAACCCTAAAGGCTCAAGCCGGCTCAAGCCCATGTGGCTACACCGTTTGTTGGTTCAAATCTGGCCATTTTCGGGTTTAGCAAACGCTGGCTGGCGCCATTTTCGGGTCTAGCAAACGCTGGCTGGCGCCATTTTCGGGTTTAGCAAACGCTGGCTGGCGCCATTTTCGGGTTTAGCAAACGCTGGCTTGCGCCATTTTCGGGTCTAGCAAACGCTGGCTGGCGCCATTTTCGGGTTTGGCAAAAGCAAACAACGATAGCTTTATCAATGTTTTGAAGTTTTGTGTTATGCATATGTATTGTTGGTTTTGTTTGGTCGCTGGTTTCGCGGGTCTAGCAAACGCTGGCTTGCGCCGTTTTCGGGTTTAGCAAACGCTGGCTTTTGCCATTTTCGGGTTTAGCAAAAGCAAACACCGATAGCTTTATCAATGTTTTGAAGTTTTGTGTTATGTGTATTGTTGGTTTTGTTTGGTCGCTGGGTTCGCGGGTCTAGTAAACGCTGGCTTGCGCCGTTTTCGGGTTTAGCAAACGCTGGCGGGCGCCATTTTCGGGTCTAGCAAACGCTGGCTGGCGCCATTTTCGGGTTTAGCAAAAGCAAACACCGATAGCTTGTCAATGTATTGAAATTTTGTGTTATGTGTATTGTTGGTTTTGTTTGGTTGCTGGTTTCGCGGGTGTAGCAAACGCTGGCTTGCGCCGTTGTCGGGTCAACCAAACGCTGGCTGGCGCCGTTTTCGGGTTGAGCAAACGCTGGCTGGCGCCATTTTCGGGTTTAGCAAACGCTGGCTGGCGCCATATTCGGGTTTAGCAAACGCTGGCTTGCGCCATGTTCGGGTTTGGCAAAAGCAAACGCCGATAGCTTCTCAATGAAAAGCTATAATGTACTTTTGAACTTTTGTGTTGTGTTTGTTGTTGGTTTTGTTTGGTCGCTGGTTTCGGGTGTTGCAAACGCTGGCTTGCACCGTTTTCGGGTTTAGCAAACGCTGGCTGGCGCCACTCAAAGTGTAGCAATGCGACCATATGATATAACCACTTATACGCCAAGTAGCGTATACATACGCCGGCTGCGTAATACAGAATATAGCTGCCGCTACAACAGCTTCCTTATGTATACACAGCTGTCCTTTGGGCAGCTGCGGGCCCCAACGGTTGCCCTCGACGAGATTGCTGCCCTCCCCCACGCCACTGGCCCCAACTTTATTCCCGGCAAAACTGCCGAGGAAGATGAGCTAGCAGACGAAGAGGACGGAGACACCAACCAACGCCAGTTCCACGACCTCCTTGCCTCACGGACTACTGCCTCCCACAGAGCTGGCTACAAAAAACACCACAGAACAGACACACCCACAAAAGGCCCAACGGAGATCTTGTCCAGCTGGACCACGCCATGATACACAAGGAGTGGCGCAACATTATTCACAACATCCACTCTCTCCCCGGCGCTGCACTCAACAGCAACCACTATCTGGTCAAGGTGGAGCTACAGCTCCGCACCAAAGAGACCAAGCGCACACCACCCAAGCCAAGACACACCAGAACACCGACCACGGAGCAAAAGCAACAGTACAACCAACACATCCAACAGCAGCTTCCCACTCTCAACGACAACGACACCTACTCACAGCCACCCGCGCAGGTCCCTCTCACAGCCCAGCCCCACACGCTCTGGTCCACCCTTAGCCAGGCGGCCGCTGCAGCAATCACGGAACACATCCCCACCACAGCATCCTTTCCCAAGCACCCTTGGATCACACAAGCCACTTGGCAGCTGATACAACAACGCTCTGCTGCACGACTCTCACAGAGAGAAGACCTGGAGGCGCAGCTTCACAAAGACATCAGAAAGCAAGCACGCAAAGACAAAACACAATGGCTTAAAGAACGTCTGGCCGAAAGCGAGGCCACCTTAGATCCCCGCCAAAAGTGGCGATGGATCAAAAGGATACGTTCGGACTACAAGCCCAGGCCGGTCTCAATACGGGACTCACAGGGCAAGCCCACAAGCCTTTCACAGCAAGCCCAAACCTTCGCAGAATACCTGCGAGACTCACATTGGGCACCACCACCCACACCATACACGGGTCCCACCGACCCCTTTCACCCACCTGCCACCGTGGACCAGCAGCCAATCACCACAGCCGAGCTCAACGCAGCACTCAAAAAACTTGCGCACAACAAAGCCCCAGGCCCAGACCAGCTCCCCGCAGAGGCATGGCAGTGGCTCGACGAACACAACAAATAAGCACTTCTTAGAGCGCTCAACCAGTCCCTGCTCACAGCCACTGTTCCAGACGACTGGCACAAAGCAACAGTGGTCGAAATTTACAAGGGCAAGGGACCACTCACAGACCCAGCCAGCTACAGGCCAATCTCACTCCTCAACACCTCACACAAGCTTTTCGCAAAGATCATCCACACCAGACTCCAGGCAGCACTGGATGACAGGCTTCGGGCAACCCAGTTCGGGTTCAGAGCAACACGCTCTACCTCACAGCCCATCCACATTATCCGCAGACTTATCGAAAGAGCGGAAGCAACTGGACAATCACTCTACACCATCCTTCTCGACTGGGAGAAGGCCTTCGACAAGATCCACCCAGACGCCCTCATTACCGCACTCACGCGCTACGGCGTCCATAGCACTTATCCAGAACATTTACACTTCCCCACAGTTCAAGGTCGCAGCTGCCGGCAAGCACAGCACAGAAGAAGAGGCGAGCTCTGGCATCGGCATGGTGATGCACGACGTGGACCAGGAACTCACAGCCAACGGGGAATTTCTCCCCTGGCTCTACAGCCAAAACCAGACCTTCTACGACCTTGCTTACGCCGACGACACAGCACTGATGGCGGGAACAGCGACCAGGGCGCAACAGCTCCTTCACACACTGCAACGGGTTGCTTCTCACAGCAACCTACACCTCAACCTCAAAAAGTGCGTTTTGTTACGCTCCCCCACCTCACAGAACACCATCACCTTCACAGACGGCACCCCACTCACCATTGAGCAGCACGCCAAGTACCTCGGAGTCATGCTCAGCAGCAACGGCTCCTCACACAAGAACGTCACGACACGGCTGGCCAAAGCCAGGAAACATTTCCACTCCTTGCACCAGTTCTGGCGCAACACGGATCTCACACTGAAGTGGAAGCTCCGCATTTACACTGCGGTTTTCTTCCCCCTGGTGACGTATGGGCTAGAGTCTGCAGCCCTCACAGCCGGAGACTACCACAGGCTTGAGGCCTCCTACTCACAGTCTCTACGCAAAATTCTACACTTCCAAAGCACCTACTACACTGAAGTTCTCAACCCCACAGCCCGTACATACACCAACCAGGAAGTGAGAGCACTCACTTCACAGCCACCTCTCACACACCACATCCACAAAGCACAGCTGAGACTTTTCGGGCACATTCTGAGATCCCATCCGAACAGTATAGGACGGAACTGTTGTTTTACTAGGTCTTTTCAGTACAGAGGGGGAACGGTAGGAGCAGGCCTCACCCCAGGTAGGCGAAGGGTCCACTGGACAGAACAGTGCACCAAGCTATTATGGCACTGGCTTTTAAAGTCCTCAAGACCCCCAGCCACTCACAGCCCTACCTTCCCGTACTCCTATCTACAAGCTCACAGAACAGCTGTATACCGCCACTTTTAAAGTACGCTAATAAGGTTGCCAACGTGCAAGACACTCCTAGAAGCACACTCCTACGTAGTTCTCTCACAGACTTGAGTTCATGCGGAGTTGTTGCTGAGCGAGTTGCATAGGGCCGCCCAAAAAACATTATTGACGTCAGAAGCGTTAGCATGTCCGTGTAGTATACTGTATGCATCTTTATAGGCTTCGGTGGCCCGGTCTGCTTTGGGCCTGCCTGGCCGCCTTCTGGTGGGAGCTCTCGGTGTCAATCTCTCTGTTTTGAAATCAACTTGAACTAGAGGATCTGCTGGGCTGGCTCGCAATACGTGTCCAAAAAGCCTAAACTCTGCCTTGCGCCATGTGTCAGCAAAGTGCTCAACAGAACATCCGTATTCGTTTCGTATTTTATCATACATGCTGACATTCGTCTGTTCTCTGTCTATACATGTAGGTGGGATGTGTAAGCTTCATCTCAACGATGTGTTCTGGAAGGCATGTAAAGTACAGAGCTCAGCGTTCGTTAGCTGCACACATTCTAACCCATAAAGTAATCTTGAGTGGACGGTAGCATTGAACACGCGGATTTTCCACTTTATACTGTTGTTAGCTTTGTTCAAGCGGTTGCATGTAGCTATACAGTCACCGATTCTGTTAGAAACTTCGGCTCTATTGCCGAAGGTGTCTGCAAGCAGGGCTCCGAGGTAAGTGGTAGAGCTTTTGCTCGGTACAAGCATGCCTTGAGCCGGACCTGAGGGGGAGAATCTGACAAAAGAACGCTCTTGGTTCGCAGTGAGGCTAACACACTTTCCATATAGCAGGCTGAATGTTCTTCTATTGCATGAAGAAGAACATCAATACAATGCGTTTTTGCCACGAATATGAGGGTGTCGTCCGCATTTAGTATTTCCGAGAAACAAATGCCATCAATGGGCTGAAGCTTCCTGGGAGTGTGTAGTTCAACTTTGATATCCGTAAAAGGGGCTTCCTTACTAGGCAAAATGAACAAGATGATAGCGGACAGCCTTGTCTTATACATGTATGTTGAGTTAGCAATTCAGAATCATTTCCATCCATACTAACTGTAAACTGAGAGTCCCGGGAGAAGCTTCCGACCAAGTTCCT